TAGTTTTTATATAGTTTCTATGTAATTACTTATATAAATTATCTAATAAAGATATGAGCAAGGCCTCACCTTAACACCAAAAAAAAAAAAAAAAAAAAAAAAAAGAATAAAATATATAAATTTTAATTGTTTTATTATCTAAATAAATATTCTCAAAGTTGGGATTTTACAGTCTAGTAGTCTAGACACCCAACTCTCCATGAACAGGTTTTGGGTTCAAGTTCTAGTAAATATGTTTATCTATGAATATTTGAAAGTATCTGCTGTGGGAAGACCAAGTGAATACAGGTCTGGATTAGAAATTTTCGGAAGGAGGCTCATTGTAGAGTAGTTGGCACTACGTGTAATGGTAGTTATTATAGAAAGTTTTATTATACAAAGCTTGTATATATAAATTCGCGATTGGCAAGGTAGTACCAACAATCTCTGAGACAGCATTGGAGATCTTGTTTGGGAGGATAAACCAGGCGGTAACCAGAATTGAAAAGTGGTGAGAAATGTAATAAACACAAAGGAATCTGTAGTAAAGAATTGGCTTTACCAGATTTGAAACATCTCTGGCATATACAAAACTTACTGACCAATAAGAAGTTGAAGCATAGAGACGTGTATGTGTTAATAGATCTAACAGACTCTGGTTATACCCATATAGAAGTTTTCAAATATTAAGAGAACTCAGAACCACCAATATAGGTATAGCTGGTATAAATGAATACAGCAATAACCAGGAGCTACAATTGCTAACAATCATTATAAATAAAAATAATAACATACCTGTTAAGAATCCCTAGGTCTCATAATCCTATCTAACTATATTGAGTACTGAAAGTATTTGTGAAATATACCTAGGCAAATCTTATCACCATATTGGGAAGTATAGTCATTCACACATCACCAAATTCGAAACATTAAGACCTGGGTCTCAAAGTTGCAGGAAACTAGCTAGTTATAGCAGCATACAGGCTTGAGATATTTATCTAATTGAATATAAGCAGCTACATGGCTTGAGATACGAACTCCTGGAAGTATGCTAGTTGGGACCAGACACACCAAACTAGGAGCAATAAACACCTATCTAGTACACACCAATTTAGAAGTTAAGATATTAGATATGTGAGTAAAGTGGCAAATATGTGAATACTAATTGGTAGTTGGGGAGAAATATATAAATCCAGGTCAATCACATATGTGGGAGTGTTGATAGCTCTAGTGGGTTTTAACCATGGATAAATAGTCTTAGATCTAAAGTCCTAGTTCTAGTTTTGATATGTAATATGTATGTATTTTAGCACTACTATATATCAACTTGCTTAATTATTAATAAAAGTCTAGGGTAGGCACTACACTTTAATATTATTAAAAAAAATAATAATAATAAATATTCTCAAATTTAATTGGTTAATATATTAAAAATGCATTTAGAGAGAATATTTATATATATATAATTTGAAAAATAATCTGCATTTAGAGAATATAGAACATGCACTTATTTTATAAGTCTCAACTTGGAACCAGACTATTTTCATGCATATAGAGAGAAAATGCACTTAGAGAACATGCATTTAGAGGGAGTTGACTATAGTTTAAATACTATGTTTATATTATAATCTTATAATATTTCTATAGTGACCACTTCTACTAAAGATCGACCAAATTTTGTATTACCAATAGTCTCTTCATAGACATCTTATTTCACTAACAAGTTTACTTTGCGGTATAAAAAAAAGAATATATTTATTCACCGCATCCTGCGGCCCCTCTAGGGGTCTCTAATCAAATTTCTTAAAGATTACATCAGCATAACCAAGCTTCAATTTATAATATTAAGGAAATATATATGAAAGAATATATTTTTTGAAATCTATTATTGTATTATACAATCATGCTAGTTATGTATGCACACTTTTTCATACTGTAGACTTTAACACTAGACACTTTTGCAATAACATGACCATCACGTGGTGTGGTATATTTTTTGCTTTAGTTTAGGGTTTGTGTTAGGGTTTTTAGCTTTATATATTATATGTAAAATTGCATTTCTGACACTTTTTGTTAGTGCTTAAAGGCTGATTTAAACGCCAGTTTTCAAGTATTTTTGCTTTTTTCTCTTTTTCTCTTCTTGCACATGTGTTTTGTTTTGATGTTGGACTGATCCGGAATAATCAAAATTTACGAATTCTGATTGGTCATTTTCTATACACCACGTTACGTTACTGCAAAAGTGTCTAGACCCCTAGTGGGGCTGTATCTCGCGGTGGCACTAATTTTATCGCTCTCACATGATCGACCAATCAAATTTTAAAATCAGGTGTAATATAGCACAATTAGAAAATTCAAACCAAATATTCATTTTATCAAAAATCGTCTATAACTCAAAACTTTGTATATGAAACTACTTTTCATATTCTAACAAAAAAAATTTCTCACAAAATTTTACTATAAAAAAACTCTTCCTCTAACACTAACCTTAATACTAACCTTATCTCACCCTAACTCTAACTAACAAAAAACAGTTTGTTTTGATTTTATGTTACACCTAATTTTATGATCTGTAGAGGATGCAGATGCAGTAACATCACATATGAGATGTATAAATTATTTTAAAAAAAATTAGGGGTTTTGCAATTTTTAGACCCAGATATAAAAACTATTTTATCATTTTATTGTATCATCTTATAATAAAAAATTTTTCATAAGTTTTTTTATAGAGTAATTTTATTATATTACTATGCAATCTTTATTTAGAAAAGGTTCATTATTAAGTAGATTCGTTATTAAAAAGTGGTTATAGAATATTTCATTTTATTAATTCAAATGAAAAAAAAATTATTTTAAGTATTTATCTCCCGATCAAGAAACCATTTCTCCAACACTTTTAACAGTTCATCTAAATAATTATCTTGACAAATTAAAAATAATCCTTCTTCTATACTTATTATTTTATTAATAGCAGGTTTAGAGAAAGGAACATTTGAGACAAGTATTCCGATTGATGTTTCTTTTACGTTTAAAACTTCGGCCAGAAAATCAATCTCCCTTATTACAACTTCAACTTCTTCTACACCAACAAACTCTCTCCTGGTGTGCCACTTTGGTTCAATATGATAAGCATAGCCGCTAATTTTTCCTTCATAACTATCTGTTAAGGTATTGCTTTCCATTGCCACTTTACAGATCCTTTCACCATACATAGTGTCAAGCCCATCTTTTGAAACCCATAAAAAAAAAAACAATTGTAAATAACCTTGAAACTGGCTAAAAGCTCACCACCCATGGTGTTGGATATTCAATTAAGATGATCTCCCAAAACTAGTATAACTTCACCAATATAGTATATAACAAAAATTGTAGTAAGAATACTTATATCGGGAAATACGGTAGAATCAAATATAGATTTAGGTGAATACGTGAAATCATTGTCGAAATATGCAGAATTTACAATCAATTTTTCTTCTTTTTCAACCAAAATATTTGGTGGAATACGAAAAATTAGAATATGTTTTATTTGAGTTTCTTCATTCATTATTCAAAAATTTCAAAAAACAATTATATATATTTTTTTTAAAAAAAAAATCTCATATTTATAGAGTTTTGACCTGGTTTATACTAGTGACTGGACTTGTTATAAAATTTTTAACTCGCGAGTACTCGAGTTAATTATTACAGTAATATATAATTAATAGTTATCAGATAGAATGTAGATGATATTGAGTCAGTGTTATTTAGTAGACATTTGATTGACTCAGATCATGCCACTTCACGGCATGATCTGAATCAATCAAATGGCTATTAAATGATGTTGACTCAATATTATCTACATTTTCTACCTGATAACAATATTATCCGAGAGTAGTCATTGATTATATTACTCATATATTATGTAAATTATTGTTATTTCATAAAATTTAGTTTATTGATTATGTGGTTTCTTTGGTTTTTATTTTTATTTTTTTTTACTCAGAGACTTTTTGACATGAATTAAAACAATCGTTAAGATAAAAAAAAAAAGATATATATCTAAAAAAAGAAATATTACAGTAAAATTCCGAACCATGAAATAAACATTGATATACCATGGATATAGTATTAATATGAGTAACATGATCAATAGTAACTACCAGATAATGAAGTTAAAATGACCAATACACTTTGTATTGATAAATTTTGTAAGCTGCATACAGTAGGTAATGTCGTAATTTTAGCGTAATTCTTAAAAAATTTGACTTTTAAAATTTATACTTCTATACTATTCATTTCAGATTCAGAATTTTTATAATTCTTTTCGGCTAGATAGTTTTACTGATATCATATGGGCAGAAATTTTTAGTGGAGTGCTGTGACTATATAAAATTATACTTATAAAAACTGATAAATAACGGATCAATTTTGATAAATAATGGATCATCCTGGTTTATTTTTAGCTATATGTTCGGTATACTGCTCATAAAAACTGATAAGTAACTGATAAGTAACAGTTTTACAATCACCAACAAATAATCACTTTTAATATTAGTAATCACACTGTATCATATATATTATCGGCTCAAATCCTATTTAATCTCATCATTCAACTTAAATAATCACAACCTAATCACAAAATTGAAGATTTCCGCCCATATGTTGATGAAACTCTTGTAGGTAGTAAGAACAAGAATAGTCTCTGAAATTAAAAAATGCCTAACTTCTTCCAAGATAAGAGTGATTATATATTTTTTACTTTTTTTTTTAATGATATATGAAATTTTTAAACTATTTCGTTAGCAAGTATGTAATAATTAGGTATATATGAGGTAATTGAGTATGTACAGTACGTGTGAGTAAGTATGAGATAATGAGATCATAGTATCTTTTCTGCCCTTCCTCTCATCCCCAAAATGATACAACGTTATTTTGATTGGCCTGCTGGGACGACAGCCAAAAAATTATGGCAATAGTCATATATAATAGGAATAGTTGGCCTGTTGGGACGACAAACACATACACATGTGTAGGAATAGCTTGTCGACATGACAACGTGATTTTGAAAAAAAATAAAAAAAAGTAGGAAAAAGTCGATGCTCAAGCAATATCCATTTATGTTTTTCATGATAATATACTTGTAAATGAGAGACAAAACAAAAAGCTAACATGATAATGTGATTCTCCCCGCTACAATTTGAATAATAATTTACTTTATGTACTACATTTTTTCTGATAATAGAAATACAAAAAAAACTAAAGTGATAGTGCCAATTTTCTTTCACATTCTTTTAAAAAATATATTTTTCTTTTAAAACTAAGGGATTCATCATTTATAATTTTTTTTTGTAAAAAAAATTTTTATATATACGGTATAATGAGTGATAATGATAGTGTTTCTAGGTCAGGTTCAGGTCCAATCTGGTCGGGTTCGGTCTGAGATAGAACCAGACTCAAACTATAAATTTTGAAATTTTTGGACCCAGACTCAAACATGATTATAGGTTTGGTTCGAGTTTGGTTCGAAGTTTGCAAACCTGTCCGGGTCCGGAATATATTAAACTCGATTGTCTAAATATATGTACTTACAGTATAGAACTCATATATGATTCTCAAAATTTGTGCGTAAGTTATGCCATTACTAGTTCTAATAACAATAGAGACAGGTTTGAATCAATTAGTTACGTTCTATATAAAAAATCGGTTAAAAAATAAGGCGTGACGTAAATAAGTCTGCTAATATTTGTTTTAAAGATAACTGTGAATAGCCCATTAAAAAATCTAACTATTAACATAATCGAAAAGCATAGGTATGGTAGTTGGAAGAATCGACAATTGAGAGTGCCAAAAATAAATTCAACTTTAAGTTTATAAAATAGATTGAGAATTTGAACTAAGTAATAAAACTGAAACAATGATATGCTCCTGGAAAACTTAGCAAATAAGATTGTGCTAGGTATTATAATAACAATATAATGAGCGAGAAGCAGTATGAGTAGGGCTGTTAAGTGGTCAATTTAAACCAATAAACTGCCAGCCCATCCTAGGACTGGGCCGGTCTTGTCTTTTTGAGACGGACCATCGATCCCGATAAAATATAATCTGTTTCTGGATTTTTGATCTTCAGTTAGCACAAAATTATTATAATGAACATATATAGCTTAATTTTTTGTAGGGTTATGATTATGAGTACTTTATAATATATATGCAGTACAAGTATAACTTTGAGACAACTTATATGAATAATAAATCAGCACAAATAAGAAATTAATAATAAATACATAGATTATTTCAAATATTTTGATTAATAAATGTCGCAGATAATATCTTCTCCTAAATCGCCACCAACATTTTCACCGGCACATGATGTGTAACATACCGAAAAATTCTTTAAGTCGTTTAGGTTAGGGTTAGGGTTAGGGTTCGTGTTAGGGTTAGAGAAAGCTATAGGTAAAATTGCTCAAGGAAAACTTTTGTTAAGGTGGTTTCTTATACTATATTTTGAGTTACAAGCGATTTTTGACAAAGCAAATATTTGTTTTGATTTTTCCTGATCATGTAACATTACACCTGATTTTGAAATGTAATTGGTTTAAAATTACGTGGAGATAAAAATTTTGAAAATTTGGTGGCGATTTAGTTCACAGATAATCGTGAAATCAGATGATACTGAAATTCATGTAATCACATAATGATCTCCACTATTATTGTTACATAGATTAAATTATTTATAATACAAAATATAGATTTTTATAATATAAAAAAACTTGCCAGAGACATGATGTTGGTGATATAGTTAATTATAGTATAAGAAATTATTATAAAATTAGTGATATTATGTGTCTTTTCCTTGTATATAAGTGTTGTAACCAATCTTATCTAAGTTACATCCTTTATATAACATTAAAAGACTATTGAGGCTTAAACATAACTCACCTTATTGTATAGTGGCTTAATTCTATTAGCCAAGATCTGCTATTATCAAGATATATTATTAATTATCTAAGCCTTAAGTTAAATTACAAATCCAAGTCTTAACCAATAAACCAGTATTTCTTGTTTTGATTGCTTCTATTACAGGTTTACTATTATCGGGAAAATAAATTAGGTTATGATCTGCACAGATTGCTAAAATTATCAAATCTTCACAGATCACTAATAAAAAAACTGCAAAGTTCTGATTTTTAAAAATCTTCACAAATCACTAATAAAAAAACTGCAAAGTTCTGATTTTTTAAAAATCTTCGCAGTTTTTTATTTAAAGTTAAATAAAAATCTGCGCAGATTTTTAAATATAAAGATCTTTGCAGTTTAAGCTATATGATAATATATTAGGTTATATAAAGTTAATTTTTTGGTTCTTGAATATAAACAAAAAAAAATAAACCGCCTGCCTGGACTTTTATTTAAAAAATTTTTAATTAAAGTTTTAATTTATAAAGCTATGACCCGGAATTAAAAATAGCAAAACAAGTTCACAAAACAAGTTTATAAATATTTATTTACTTATTATTAATTAATTTAGTCAGTAAATATAAAATTATTTTATTTACTTCGATATAAAGTTTAAAGTTGCAGATGCGAAATAAAACATTAAATAAATATTTTATAGATAATCTAAATATAGAAAATATGCACATTGTAATGAAGATAACACACAACCAGTATGGTGTCAATTATGCAATTCTGATATAACAACAAGATGAACAAGTGAAAAAAAGATATTGATGATTGTATAAAAGAACTTCAACTTAGAGCCTGGAAATATAAAGATGCAATTGAATAGATTCTATTTGATAAATTATTTAATGTTAAAGAAATCAGTAAAGAAGGATTTGGTTCTGTATACAAAGCAACCTAGTTGAATAGCATATGAAAAGTTGATGGTGATTATTATAATTATATAAGAGCGTGTGAACTATCCAGCATCATTGCATTCAAGATGTTGGCCAGTTCTAAGGAAAACATTTTTACCAATCACTTTTTTTATGTGAAAAATAAATTTCGAATTATCAATTTATTTTAACGTTAAAAATGCGAACTTTAATAGCTGTGGGAGTAAATCTGATCCTCAAAAACGTATAAAAGATCAGTAGTGTTAATATTTTTATGGTTTTATTACAATGATAAACCCCATATAGTAGAAACTGGGTACTGGAAGGATTATTGGATGAAACTAGAAGAAATTTAGGTTCTAGTAGTAAGTTGTCACTAGACTCTATTTTTTTTTACCACTGGATGGAAGTTCCAGTGAGGTCTTCAAGTAAGGTCCAGTGAAATTTAGTTAGTCAAAAAGAATAAAGATAAAAAAAAACTTTATATTTTTGTAATATGATACAGATTTGTTATGAGTAAAGTTATTTTTAATATTTAAAATTTTATTTAAACGCATATATATAAACTATTTAAACTATAATAGTACAATATTGTAATCAAAAAAAAAACATTTATTACAAACTAAAAACTTGTAATTGGATCATTAAGATTCAATATCAATTAATGATCGTACATTTAACTTTTTTATGAGATATAATTCTATGCACAAACCCATACTTTATACCAATGACATAATGATGATAAACACTCCTGTTAGTGAAGTTGGTTTTCAGATTATTCTAAAATAACTTCAAATAAAGACTACTCGGCACTTACATAGCCAAATTCAATCAAATTTTTTTATTTTAATTCTAAGATTATAAAATTAAAACAAATAAAAAAAATTGATTGAATTTGACTAGGCAAGTGCTGAGTAGTTTTTATTCAAAGTTTAGGCACCTATAAAAAAAAGCAGTGACCAAATTTTTTTTTAAATTTTTAATGAATGTTTTTCAGCAACCGGCTACTCAAATTCTATCAATTTTTTTTATTTTTAATTCTGTGAATTCATAGAATTAAAATAAAAAAAAATTCATCAAATTTGCATAGCAAAAAATATTTGGTTTGAATTCTTTTTTTTTTTTTGTGCCATTTAACTTATCACATGACTTCGCGGGCATTCTTGTTCACAAAAAAAAAAAATTCAAACCAAAGATTTCTCGAAAACCAACTATCATAGCTTCTTTTTAAAGGCATTTAACTTGAATAAAGACTACTTGGCACTTGCCTAGTCAAATTTAACCAATTTTTTTTATTTTAATTCTATAACTCATAGAATTAAAATAAATGTTTCTCAGCAACCAGCTACTAAATTTCTACTAATTTTTTTATTTATTTTTTAATTCTATAAACTCACAGAATTAAAATAAAAAAAAAAATTTATCAAATTTGGATAGTTGGTTATCGAGAAATTTTTGGTTTAAATTTTTTTTTTTTTTGTGCCATTTAACTTATTATATGACTTCATGGATATTCATGTCCACCAAAAAAAAAAAAATTCAAACAAAAAAATTTCTCGACAACTAACTATCCAAATTTGATGAAATTTTTTTTGGCATAATTTGGGTAGCTGGTTGCTGAGAAACATTAAAGAAGATCTGGATAGTTATATGACCAAATTATATAGTAAGAGGGTGTAAAATATCTACTGTATAAGAGCGAAATAATATTTACCTGCACATTATTTTGAAATAAGAGATTTTCTAAATTCAATATATAGTTAACCTTCAATAAATGTGTGTTGTTGGGTAAAGGTGCATTTATAAAACATTCATTATAGAGAATAATCTACATATAATTATATACTTATTAATAGGATTCGGAATGCCCTGAGCGCTAACTTGAGACTATATATTAATATTAATAAACAGATTATTTTACACATTTCAGTGTTTTGATTAAAAAATAGTTATTATATATTGGCTAAATTGACTTGAATAAAGACAAAATTAGCGCAGATAATAAAGGTGCTTTGATTATAATTATTGTTATACTTGCTAGTTAAATTAATCTAAATAAAAAACTTAATAAAAAGAGATCTGTATTATTTCACTTACAATCACTTCATAGACACCACATTTCATGACAATTATTCATCGACAGTCTATTTTACTGAAGCTCTTTCAATAACAAGACTTTTTGAAATGAAATAGGCTATCAGTAAAATGATGATTGTCAGTGAATGGATCAAAAAGTGGCCTATCAGGAAGTTAAATATTATTGGCTATTAAAAGGTACGTATACGTACATGACATTTTTGTCACGGGTCATATACGTACAATATATAAACAATGATTATCAGTGATGATCATTGTATTTTTTTTTTGCTTTTTTTCATTACAGTACTGGGAGTTACCTTGGTATAGTCTTTGGTTAAAGTTTCGTCTTTCAGTGGTTAACTAATTTTCTTTTCTCCTTTTCAGATAATAGGTCTCGTTGCTGGAGTCGTCGTTGGTACCAGTTTGGAGTTCTTTCGCCGTCAGTGCGTTACCTAGAGCTTTTTCATTATTGGTGTCGCCAATTTCAGCGTTCTTTCATTGGTGTTGCCCATTTTGGTGTTCTTTTGTTGGTGTGCCCATTTTGGTGTTCTTTCGTTGCTGGCGCGTTACTGTTGTTGGTGTCATTCGACTTGATCACTTTCGTTACCGGTATGTTACTTGAGCATCGAGTTTCTCAATTGTACAGTGAAGTATTTGTTTGTTTGTTTCTTTTTTTTTGCTTCAGTGTCGTATTTGTGTAATACTAATCTTTTTAGGTTCAGAATAGGTGTCTTGCTTTTTTTGATGTATTACTGGATATATTCGTTGTTGGTGCCGAGTTTGTGTTTGGTGATTTGTTCGTTGTTTCGTTTGTCTGTTTTTTTTTTTTTTTTTGCTTCAGTGTCGTATTTGTTAATACTAATCTTTTCAGATTCAGGTTTAGAATAGGTATCTTGCTTTTTTTAATGCATTATTGAATACGTTTGTCGTTGGTACCAAGTTTGTGTATAGCACTGTGTTTGGCATTTTGTTCATCATTTTGTTTGTCCATTCTTTTTTTTTGCTTCAGTGTCATATTCATGCAATACTAATTTTTTTAGGTTCAGAATAGGTGTTTTGCTTTTTTTGATGCATTACTGGATATATTCGTCATTGGTGCTGAGTTTGTATATGGTGCTGTGTTTGGTGCTTTGTTCGTTGTTTCGTTCGTTCATTTTTTTTTTTTTTGCTTTAGTTGTATTCATGCAATACTAATCTTTTTAGGTTCAGAATGGGTGACCATCGTGTTTTGTTTTTTTAGTGTGCTATTGGATATGTTCGTTATTGGTGCCGAGATTGTGTGGTGCTATGTTTATTGTTTCGTTTGTTGCTATGTTGATTTTTGTAATATTGTTGAAGTTTAGTAGTTGGAAAGTTAGCTTTAGGGTTAGAGTTAGATTATATTAGGTGTTTAGATAAAAAGAGTGAAGTGGAGGTGACAGCTATAGTGATCACAGGATGGTTTAGTTGTGTGTAGTGTACTAACTAAAAAAAATTATCCTTTAAACTGTAGACAATTCCAGGCAAATTTGTCTGGAAAATTGCTATAAATTTGCTTATAATTTACTTTTTTTAAAATTTAAATTTTTTTGATTATATTTGAAAATAAGGATTATATTCCAGTAGTATTTAATTTTATATTATAAGAAAAAAAGTTTGGGTTGCTTATAAGCCAAAAA